CTTTTTCTTTGGCATTGGGGTAACCATTTTACTCTGTTGATAACACGTAGCACTGCGCAGGGACCACAAGCCCATCTCCTCTGCATTTTCCAAGAATCGCTGCCATGAATAATGTTCCTGTCAGCATGGATGCAAACATGCCCATGGCAGGTGGGTCTCCTGGAGCATTACTTGACTTGTCTTCACAACACGCAGTGTCTCCCACACCATGACAACCCCTGGCCCTGTGCACATGTGTTCTACCAGACCGGCAGAGAACGGATGGTCCTTCAGGTCAATGTAGTGTTCTTTGACAAAGTCTTCAGAAGTCTGCATGAATTTCAAACCAACATGGTGGGATCCCTTCTGCTGAAAATGCTTGATGATCTTTCCCATGAGGCCCCACCGGGCTTCATCGGGTTTGATGGGGATGATGATGCCCTCCGCACTAGCCATGGTCTGCTCCAGCTGTGGTGGTTCCAACTCCAGGTGCCCCCCCCCGCCCCCCGCAGCAGAAACGTGCTTGGGCCCCGCAAGGTTTCCAGCGCCTGCCAGCTAGCATCACTGGTCATCTCTGCTCACGGCTCCAAAAGGACAAGCTGTGACATTGCCACCAATAGGGGGACGTTGTATAGTTAATATATGTTTGTCCTATCGTTTCTGCCAAGAAAATAAGTGTGAGCAATCAGTGATATGGTTGTAAGCCGATCTTAGGATTTCTGTAAGAGCTGTTTCCCAGCCCCACTTAAAAAGTGTTTTCTAATAACCAAGTATGTTTTTCTATATTTCTAATGATTATCTGATAGCTGTCAACAATGTCAGAGCAACATTCTTATTCTCAGGGACCATTTTTTGATTGTTGTGTACAATCATACAGTATGTACGGTTTTGATCATAGGAGGTAGGTAGGAGGTAATGGAATGATAAAGGGGGAAAATGTTGGGTTAACTTTCATGCTTATTAGGACAAAGACCATCATTATTGTCATCATCACCATCATCATCATCATCATCACCACCACCATCATCATCATCTTTAATAACTTACATTGATCATCTCTCTATTATAGAAATTTGGCCCAATCTAAGATGAAATAAATGATTTTGAATGCCGCTGTTGCCAAAAAGTTTACAATGAACAAAACTCCCAAGTCCACCCTGGTTCATTTTAAATTTTCAAGCCACCCGAACATTACCACCAGTTTCATTTTGGATAATGAATGCCAAACCAAAAACAAAATTGCTTTATTTTTTATTGTCAATGTTTTACATGTTGGCTTTACGTCAGACCTGTGGTATCTTCTTCCCTGATGTCTGCCTCATAGTGCATCAGGATCTGTTTACAGTCCGTGGGGTTATTATCGGCAGGGTACTGGGGTCCCTGCTTCATTAGGCTTATACTCCCTTTGGACAGCTTTTTCTTCTGAAAACTTGACCCTGACATCACCTTTCCCAGAGGTGTAGCTGCTGATGCTACCTGCATTTTTGGAGCTATGTGAATGCGAGGACAGTAGTTCAGGTCTAGCCCAGGGGGTAAAACACAAAATGCTTGTCCATCAGCATGGCACCAACCATTTGATAGAAATGCAGGTCAAAGTGCAGGGGCAAGTCTCTGGAGGCCCTTAATGTGGACTTGGACTTCCCAGAGGAGCAGCTCTGTGGGAAGGGGGCCTGGGAAACCCTCTGGTCGCGGCTCCGTGGCTGTTTACTAATTGGTATGGAAGGGTGTCGGTACTCCAGCATGAGTACCAGTACTCCTGGTACAGCCTTCCTACCACCTCCTGGCTGCATGGATCGGCCTGGATCAAGCCCGTTGCAATCATGGCTTTGTTTCTGGCATCAATACAGGCAAGGACATTTTTCATGCCTAAGTATGCTAAATGCTAAACACCACTGCAGGGAGGTATGTTAAGCCAATTCTGATTCCGGGATTAGTTTTTAGGTTTCCTCCCAAATGACATAGACTGATATGGCTGTTATTTTTCTGAGCTCTGTCCAGGCTCAAGTGGGAGGGATGGACAACCAAAGAAAACATTAAAATCTTTGACCTGCCCTTCAATGTTGGTGTCACTGATGTGATATTGATTCTGGGTTAACAAAAAAAATCCATTTCCTTCTACTTCTTTCAAGTCTCAGTTATCTCATTATTGAAATGAAGTCATGGTGGATCTTACCAGAATGTTTTTGGGTGAACTGCAAACTTCTTTTACCAAAGTGGCTCTTTCATTTTGAAGGACACTTACTGAAAATGGAGGCAATTCTTCTGAGGGGGTCCGATGTATGACTCAGTACTTAGACCTGGGACTGGCCTGGTCGTAGGATCACGCGTCCTTCCCAGAGTCGGGCCACCAGTGTAGCCCAAGCGTTGGGTGAGGACAGCCCTGCTGGTTCTGCTAACTTTCTCTCATCAGCTTTGTTTCGGTTACAAGCTGAGCAGGGCTCTCCCACAGCAGCAGCTGAGACTTTCTGGCCTGCCGTCTGTCTCCTGGCTGCTTGGCTTGGAAAGTGGCCACTGTCGTTTCTTCATTTGCCGACAACACCGGCCCTAAGCTTGTGCAGCAGGACAGGGGAAGGAGATCCCCAAGCGTAGCCAGAGAGGGCATTCAGCATAGCACCCAAATCTGACCTCTGAGGCAAGAGAGGAAACATTTGAATTTGATGTGAGACGTGTTTAGAGAATAAATATGCCTTTTGTTTCCTAACACAGATTTTTACTAGTGTTGCTTAATAGTGTCATCTTAAACTTCCCGTGTTGCAGAACTGTCAAGTACATCAAAACTAGAGAGAATAGACTAATATTCTCAGCTCCTGCTGTCAATGAACTAGGGGCCAGTCTTGTTTTGCATATTCTTTAACCAAGACAAATACTCAAAACACTGATATTTTCAAAAGAGCTGATTCTATTTACTGATGATTTGGTGGAGTGAATCTATCACAATGAGAATACAGAAAGGTGTCTCTGCCTTTGAGTGAGGCTGTCACGTGAGGGATGCAGAGAACATGTGTATCAGAGGGCCACAGAAAGAACGAATTATGGGTAAGTCAAGATTTTAATTATCATATGACAAGGACTTCCAAACAATGTCATTGTGTTGAGTAAGAACTTGAGGGAAAAATGAGATGGAAGAACACAGCTGACTCTGGAAAAATAATATGTTATCCAAATTAAAAAAAAAAAGAGAGAGAGAAAACATACACAATAGTACAAACGAAAAGAGGATGGACTTACAAAGGCATCCATAGCCCCAGACGCATGGACATGTTGGAGTGTAATTCCTAACAGCCAACTAGAAGACAGCAGGTAAAGATAAATTCTCTGGGAACAATGAATTTAAGTCCCACGGGCTAAATCTGTAAACATTGAATGTTTTTGTCTCCTGGAGGCTGGCCGTAACCATAAACTCCAAGGATAAATGTTTCCCTAAGCCTATTGGTCTCTTTTCTATGTAACATCGCATTGGGTATTCAGGTTGAATATTCTATTTCTGATTTTGTTGTTGCGGGGTTGTTTTTCAATTTAGTTTGCGTGATGTTGATATTTCCAGAAAAAATTACTTTGTTAATGTAGAGTATGTTGCATTCTCATGGGCACTTTTTCTCTATCTTCAGGATATGTCTTGTTTTCCCCTATGGCAGCATATCCATAATTAAGGGAACGCTAAAGTCTCACTAATAATGCTTTTATTCATTCAATAAATAGTCACTTCATGTCTTACACTTCATGTAAGATGCTGGTGGAGGCAGAGAGGTCTATAAGCCTCTTTGTCATCTGAGGGGGGTGCAGGCAGCTCTGGGGCAGGGGTCTGCAGGTCAAGGCACGTGGGATCAGCGAGCCCTCCCAATGGCATTGGTGCTCAGAGAAAGGAATGGCTCCCTTGGCTGTAGTCAGCGGTGTTCAGGGCTCCGAAGACACATACACTGAGCATCTGGCAGAGATGCAGTGGACGGTAGGAATCCACCTTTGCAGGAGCACTACTGAATCCAGATTCCAGCTCTGTGCTTATTGGTCATGTAGACCTTGGACACATTATCTTCTCTTTGCTTTACTTTCCTTGTCTAGGATGCTCACAGTCATACTTACCTCTGAGGGTGCTTGTGAGTGAAAGCCTGATGAGGCCTGATTAAGTGGTCACCAGTGTCATTGCTCTGTTGTGGCACAGTGGGACCAGTAGGCTTGCAGCCACGGGCAGAACAAGCCAGGAGACGCCCAGAGTCTCGGTAGGGGTAGGGGAGGCAGGCTGCCAGGGAGCAGGGAGGTCAGGAGTGCTGCTCTCGGGGCGATGGCCAAGCTACGTCTTGAAGAGTGTGGGAAACACGATCCAGACAAAGGGAGTATGCTGAGCCTTGCAACCAATGAAAATGGATTGGCTCACAGAGTGGAGCACAGGGTCCTGAAGCACTAAAGGAGGCAGGCAGGGAGCAGTGCTGTCCTGAGGGGACCTGGCATTTCCCCTTCAGGGAACGAAGAAACCTTGGCTGGCTGCACTTGAATCCCGGACTTGTAGACCTTGCAAGTCATCTGTTCTTTCTCTCACAGATGGAAAAGGTTGGAGAGGTGGAGTGCCAAACCCAAGGCCACACGGCTGGTTAGGAGAGAGGCCAGCAATTGAACCTCATTTTCTGCCTTCTAACTCCCACCTTCTTCCTTAGACCATGGCTTTGTTTAGGTAATGAGATAATGCGGACCTACGAAACACCTACCCCCCTGCAACGTAGCTAGCTGTTCCCTTTTGGACAAAGAAGGAAAGAATCCAGGCTGAGGGAGAAATTCTTCAGCGCTGTCATTGCACATAGTGACTAAGGCTGTTACTTTATATCCAACCTTCTTGTAAGGTCAGGGAATGACATCACATTATTCACTCTTTGATGTTTGCTAAGCAAATATAAAGTTTGTATCTTGGCGGGCACCCAGTTTTCAGTTTGAGAACTTTCCAGTTGCAGTTTTTGGAGTTGTGGATGAGGTTAAGAGATAGACAGATGTGATAAGAAAGGGATATATCAGACATACGCAGAACGAACCAGTTTTTAATTGCATCGAAAAATGCTTTTGCCCTAATGTGTTTTGGTTAATGCCTTCCACTGCATTTGTAAAGAGGATGTAAACATAAGCCCTGATAATGGAGCAGTCTTTAAAATAGGTGTCTATTCTTGGCTTGAAGAACTTCAGAAGCATGCTCCTTTATTAAAGAAAGACTGCATGCTTTATGCTTTGAAGAAAACAACTGCAGATTTACCGAACTCATGACAATCAGAAGCCAGGCATTTGCAGAGTCAAGACTGATTGGGAAGGTAAGTGACTTACACTAACATGGAAAAGAAATTCTCTTTTTGTAACACTATTTTCTATTTATTTCTAGCAGATCATTTGAGTTGCATTGTATCAAAGGCTTCATCTGCTTGTTGTTTTGTTAATTTGTATCCTTTTCTTTTTTCTTTTCTTTTCTCTTCTACTTCACAATGGAATTTTGAATTGATCTAAACCTGAGAATTTACTAAACATGAAGCTAAGGAGAAATTTTGCCCGGCACTACAATCCTTTAAGGGGGCAAGGAGACAGGAAATGAGGAGAAAAGGCTTCTTTTCTTAGGTTTCTTAGGCCATGACTCAGCCGAGAGAGAGTGAATTATTCAATTTCACTTTGCTATAGTTTTCCCATTTATGAAACAATTTTAATAATACCTGGGACTGTTGCCTGTGAAATAATTTTATCCCCTCAGGAAAAAAAATGAGCTATCCAAATATGATATATGATTAGGTAATACATAGATTTTGATTAATACTAATATGCCAAGTTTAGCAATATATTTTTGGCCAGCTTTCTGAAAGAAATAATTTGATTTTCATAATTACTTGGGCTTACCAGCCCATGATGACAACAATGGCTATGTGACTCAATAGAACACAAATTCTTCTCTAGGCTCTTATGGTTCTAGGCAACTAAATATGTAGATGATTCTGTTCAGCTTCACTTTTTTTTTTTTTCGGTCTCATCAGATACGCATTCAAGAAATTACCTTAAGATTTGTTTCACCATTAAAGCGACATTCCCAGCTGTTCTCCAATCAACTGGATAAAAGCAGAGAACCCATCAGAAGTTGTTCCTGGTTGACTATCACCTTTCAAAGTATGTGTATGTGGGAAAAAGCCCCCATCCCTCTCCGACTATTGTTAAAAATAAGTAATGATGTATTATAAGATGCTTTTCAAGCCAGAGGGTTCCGAAAAGTTTTGCAACTACACATATAAACAGGAATTACTTCACCAGCCACTGAAATGTGGCCACCTCTTGGACAAAATGTGGCAGCTTTTAATAATGCATAGCAACATTCCAAAACAGTCAAGGCCTGGAAGTGAGGGGCAAACTTGCATCCAACTAAAATCACCTGGGAAATTTCCTGGGCTGAGTTGTGCTGTGTTGGGAAGTATCTCTTGTAACCACAAGAGGCTAGGACGTTAGTCTTATGTCTCCCTAGGAAATTCAGCCCCATTCTGTTTAGTGCTGGCTCATGGTCACCTGCTAAATCATCCAGATCCCAGACTGCAAAATGATGGACGTTCCTCTGAAGTGTGGCCAGTTTTCCACACTGGCTGATGGAGGAGGCTGGACAGTGTGGAGAGGTGGCCTTGGATGAGGATCCTGGTGACCCGGCCCCTGCAACAATATTTGGAACTGTTAATGGCCCAGGATGATAGAAGAGAAAGCTTGGTCCAGTTCTTCCTGGTCACTATAAAATACGTTCTCTGACTTGAGAGACATTTACCACAAACTTACAACTTTAAGTCTACCCCGTGCTTCATATTGACCTACCCAAATGTGCCACAGTATGTCAAAGAAGACCCAGAAGAGTCTCTTTGTTAGACCACTGTTTCATTAGCAAAAACGGCTTCTCCTAGGCAGAAGAAGAACTCCATTTACAAGTAGATGAATTTTGTCTAGATTGGTTAAATTTAGGGAAACCCACGCTCATGACCACTTGTATTCCCTCATGCCTTCTGGTTGCCCAGGTTAGTGTAATTACTTTTATGGCTAAAAGAGGGGAATGGACCCAGCATAGCAAAACCCTTGAGAGCCAGTGAGGGTAGTCTCACAGAGAAGCCTAGCTGTACACACAGTCATGAAGAAGGAAGAACGATTTCAAATGAATAACCTAATGATTAGCTTATTAGTTGATGCTTTGGAAAGATCAGTAAGGTTGAGAAACTTTGGCTAGACGAGTAAAAAGAGGGGGCAATCAAGTGTGGCAGGGACTTGTTTCATTCTCGGGGGCTTGATGGTACCAAGCTGGTCTCTTGACTCATCTGGAACTGAGAGTCTGTGTAGGACTCTCTTAGAAGATGGAAGGTGGTGGTGGAGGAGGGTCCAAGGTCATTCCTGCAAGGCTGTCTGACACAAGTCAGATAAAAGCATGTTTTCCACACTCCAGTTATTCTTGTAAGAACAAAAAAAGGGAATCACAAACACTGAAGGCAATCTCAACGGTGGAAGAGAGAAGTCTGGGGTTGGGCTGGAGGGTGGAGTGTTTAATAAAATCAGGAGGAACTGGTGATGGTGGGATGACCTTTAGAGAATGATTGTCTAACCAAACTCTTGGCTCACAGCTCTTGCTGGTGAATCCGTCCCTTTTCTTGCCCTGAATCACTCCCTGGGACCAGCAGTCTTGTCTTCTCAAAATGCAGGAGTCAGGGCTGTTGTTCCAATTCACCGTATCCTGGTGACACTTCTGATTCTCCATGGAAAATTCCACTTTCCTAACTAGGTCCAAATTAAATATTGACTTTACTAATTTTAAATCATTTTGCCCATAGACAAATGTGTTTCCTAAGGACATTTTGAGGAAATGCTTGAGCAATCCCAAAGATGCCACTCCTACTACGTGAAGCTTCATGGACATGAGCAAAAGACATACGCCTGTAGCGACCTTCCCTGGGTGGATGGACAGAGTCCTGGGCCCTAGAAACACCATCCCTGACCAACACCGAAGAAAGTGCTGGGCCTTTATGGGTGTGTCAAATTGTGCCTGTTTTGTTAAAGCCATCCTTTTTCCCTCACCTGCAACATCAGATCTTTCTCTGAGTTCTGATGCTTTGTATAATCCTCCTCAGCCCCGCTTGGCAAGCACAGCATTTCTCCCTGGGCCATTAATAGAGACTTCTGGTTTCTTCCTTATCTAATCCACACCCCATCTAGTTTCTATAGGCCCAGTGAGTTATTTCTACAGATGCAGTATGGTGGTCCAGTTCCAGAAGGGCTCCCCGCCGACCACAGAGTGGATACCAGAAGCCAGTGTCTGCCATTTGAGAAGCATTGCAATCTAGACCTACATCCTGATCCTCAACCCCCTCCCCAACACCATGTGCCCAAGCCACGCAAGACTCGTGATTTCCTGAACTTGCAACATTTTCCTTCTATGCTTCCAAGCCTTCACACGATCACTGCTCTGACTGATGTCTTGGCTGCAATTTCATGAGGCACCCTGAGCCAGAGCCACCTGGCTAAGCTGCTTCCGGATTCCTGGCCCACAGCACTGGGATAAATGAATGTCATGATTTTTAAGCTGCTACTTGGGAGAAATTTGTTATAGAACAATGGATTCCCCTCTCTGTCCTGCTGTTGTTATAGATCAGTAGAAGGACACAAGCAGCCTACCACTGTGTTGCTCAGAGTAGGCAAGACTGTGAGCCCAACAGCCATGACAGAACGGCCCTCACCACACTTGACACGGTGAGCTTTGTGTCAGCATCCTTCAAACCGATGTCTACGTGTGTTCAACAAATGGGTACTTAGAGGTGTTGTTGGGCTTTCATCAAGTTTAGGAATGAACAGCATGCAGATGAGAAGAGACAAGACCTGCAACGAACGTGAGTCATGAGGTGGAGAAAGCAGAAGCAGCTGAGGGCCTTGCTGAGTGAAATACATCCATAGCATCTGAACTGGCCTTTCTGCTTCTCTCTGTCAGGAAGGGACAGCAGCATGGAGAGGAGAATGGATATTTTGAGAAGAGGCTGGCTATTTTGCAAGTCTTCACAAAAAACAGAATGTGTTCCTGTTCATGTGGTTTGTGTGGTAGCCATCGACCAAGAGGTCAGGGCCCTGTGAAGTCTGATGGGAGTCATGGCTTGGGTTTCCTGCCAGTCGCCTTGCTCTTGCTCCACGTCAGTTGTAACTGTCTATGAATCCATTTCAGGACGAACAATGGAAGAAGGCAGCAAAGTGCCCTGGTGTATAGCCTCTTCTCTGTGACCAGCAAGCCCACAGCCTTGCATGGCATTGTGGCCCCAGGTGCACTGTGTCCCCCGTCTCCTTTTTCTGCTCCCTTTCTCCTGCCACCATGACCAGGGTCCCCCAGGTCTGAACAGTTATTGGGGACCTGCTCAGTATGTTCTTGGTGTTCACACCTTGCCTGAGCTATGAAGACTTGTGTATAGGAGGGATACTTTACACATCCTCCCTTACACCTTATTCAATGTGTTTTCTCACCTGGGAGCATGATTACTGGAAGCCTGTCCTCTGTGGAAAGAAAAGATTCTCGGGCGCCTGGGTGGCTCAATCAGGTAAGTATCTGCCTTCGGCTCAGGTCATAATCTCAGGGTCCTGGGACCGAACCCAGCGTTGGGCTTCCTGCTCAGTGGGAAGCCTGCTTCTCCCTCTCCTCCCTACTTGTGCTCTCTCTTGCTGCCTCTCTCAAATAAATGAATAAAATCTTAAAAAAGAAAAGAAAAGATTGTCCATAGTGTGTAAGGAAATCTGGATTTTATTCTGAGGATGATGGATGATGGCATAACAGGGATATTGCTCTGGTGTGTTAGTGGGGTGGGGACTGGAGGGGGTTGAGACTGGAATTTGGGGAGCCAGTCAGGAAGTGGGATAAAGTAATCCCAAGGAGACAAATCTAAAGCGTTGGCTAGAAGCAGTGGTACCTGATAGCTGCCTACTCTTCCCTTGCAATGTGACTGAAGTTGATGTGATTCGGACATTCCTCTGTGACTGACTGGGTGATCGTTTGTGAATTGCAGGCCACATAGCAGGTGCTGTGTGGGGAATGGGGTGGGAAAGGTGAGCAGGCCCTGGTTCTGCCCTCAGGGGCTCAAAGGGCCTTGCTGTGAGCTCTTCCTGCCAACGTGGACAAAGCAAGCTGGCTTGAGTGGTAATTATGCATTTCACGCAGGCTTAATAAGATAGTAGACACATGAGGTAAAAGCAGGATAATTACTTAAAATTGAGGCAAGACATTTATTTGTATCCTGTAGGTATTAACATTTAGTGACCCAGATGGCATCTTTTAAGACCTTCTCTCTTTATATTATATTTACTTAGAATATTTATATTATATTTATATTTGTAATATACTAAGGTTAGTCGAGGCAAAAAAATAATAATAAAAAAAAGTCGCAATAGTATTATTTTCTGCTCAACCAACCCACCTCGATGGTCTCTTCCAGAAATCATTTTTTCCACACTCAGCACAGGAACAGTAAGCACTTATGCAGTATTTTTAGTATTCAGGTTAGTTTATACTTACTAATTACTAAAAACAACAACAACAAAACCCCAGGAAACTTAGGTATTTTATTCTCCAGCAATCATTCATTTTACAAAAAAAAAAAAAAAAATTTTTTTTGTTTTGTTTCTTGGACAGGAACCCTCGATCTCTTTTTGTGTGAGTTTTATAGGATTTCCCTTTCTCAGCTTTGTCGTGCCTGCATATACCATGTTTCTGGGGTGGGTTGGCCGCAAAGGGGGGCTGAGGGAGCTGCAGGCATGGCTGGCATGGGTGACAGTGTATCTGTGGCAAGGAGGAACTCTCTCTTGACCTGGGCTGAGGTGGAGACCTGCGTTTGCTGGCTCGGCACCCTGGGCCCACTCCAGGCCTGGCTGGCTCCAGTGAGCTGTGTCCCTGGGGAGGCAGGAGCCGGGCTGGGCTCTCAGCCATGACTCAGCACCTCTCACAGACCCACCCCCACCGGCCACAAACCAGGCTTGGTAATGGGTTGACTGACTGACTAAATAAAAAACAAGAAAAACTTTCTCTTTCTCTGTTCCTTTCATAGGAGAGGCATGTGGAGGTGTGTGTGCTAAAAACTGTTGTTTTTATAATGGTAGGCGTGACCATAATGATGACAGTAGATTCTCAGTACTGATAGTTCGGCAAGTGAGAGAACCACATCACCTCGTTTATCCCAGGGGTTTTATCAAAGCTCTGGTCTGTCGTTCCTGCCTACCCGAGGACACAGCTGCTCCTGGGTGAGCAGTAAAGGAGCCCTGGAATCTGACTTCCAACCACTTTCCCAAAGCCAGCTCCCGTTAACTTTCTACAAGAGCCCTCCTCATCCATTACGCTTCCCTTTCCACCTCCACAGCTTGTGGCCACTTCACCCCCCAGCCTCAGAATGCTCTTTCTCTTCTCTCCTCATTGTTTGGAATCCTCCTACCACCTCATGGACTCGGAGGGTTATCACAGTGAATTAGCATGAGACTTGGCCTATAGTGTAAGACTGGGCTCTCACTGGGCCCAGCAGTTAGGGTAGTTGGGGAAAAGGCCCAGTCAGCAGGCAGGAAGTCACACAGAATAATGAGCTGCTCAAATGAAAAGTGCATTCTCACTCCTCTGCACTCAGAATCATTTCTATTGTTCTAGATTAGTCAGGTCTAAAGATGACTGACAAAACTAAAGTCATTCCTTAGATGAAATGCACTTTGTGGATTCCTGTGTTTTCTTTCTTTTTTTTTTTAAAGTAATTTTTAGTTTTTGAAAATTGCCCAGGCTTCAGAAATATTTTTCTTCATTGCGTTTCTGATTAGTTTGAATTGGTGTATGTCTTCACTTACTGTAAATTCCTTGATTCTTTCAGGTTCTGAGGACATGAGAGCCACACTCTAATCACCTTACCCAGAGCACAGTCTAAATGTGGGTTCTTGGAATTCTGTCTTTTTGGAGCTTAAAGGTGAAGACCTCCAATGAAAGGAAACATATAATAATTTTAAATACTGTCTCTCAATGTGTTTTTATAAATTTAGATCCCTTATGTAAGTTGTAAATTCTTTTGATAGGTAGCTACATATATTCTTAACATTCAGGTCATGATCCTAAATGTCACAGAGGCTTGTTGAGGTGGCTTTTCTTCGTTTTATGGGCAGGTGGCAGAGAATTTGGAGGTATGAAATGTGGTGAATTTGAAGAAGTTGCAGGTGATGAAACTTTTCTGAAATTTGAGTAGGGACTGAGTGAGCCAGGTCTAACAAAGCCAGATTTGTTCTACAAAAAAAAAAAAAAAAAAAAAAGTCTGTAGAAATGACAGAGAAACCAGCAGGTAAATTTTGGAAAGATAGGGGAAGATGCCTCTGGTACTAATATTTCTTTTCTTCTTCTTCTTCTTCTTTTTCTTTCCTTGGTTAAGTTGAAGGGAGGGGAAGTGAAGACCAAAATGACTTGCTTCCTGTAGAAACACGGCTCATCCATCCACCTGATATCATGAGAGGAAGTCTCCCTGCCTATTTTTGGGGTGGTAATTCAACCCCGAGTGTAAGAACCGAAACCCTCATCCACTTTCTGAGGTCACCAAGAACTATTGTGCAGATCACTAGCTCTCTGGCCATTTTCAAGTAGTTGTTTGTCTTTCTAACAACAACCCCCATAAATCAGTCGTAGCACTGGGGTGTCCTCGGGCATCAGAACTAAGTGTGAGCTTTCCCATCATTGAGAATCAATCAAAATCACCCAGGAGGATCAGATGGCAAGGTGCTGAAATCACAGTCGAAGTGGGGGCAAACAGAAAATCTGAGGCTGGGGGAGGTCCCTGGTTCCCCTTTGTGAAGGTCCTCTCTCCACAGAAGCTGGGGGTTTGTTTTCACTTCCTATTTTTCTAGTAGGTTGTCATTCTGTGCCTGTGAGTATTGACCTTCCCCAGTGTCATCACCAAACCACCTCTGCCTCAGGACACCGGGGACAGCTTTGGCTTTAGAAGGATGCCGACTGTGATTTGTTTGTCTGTTAGGTTAAGAGTCATCTTACTTTCATGAGATGGTGACAGTGGATGGAAAGTGAAAA